GGGCTGATCCCACATTATAGCCTGATTCCAGGTCACTCAGCAGTAACCAGGCGGCCATAACCAAGTTACGTCACGGGTACGTCCCGTAACAAACCTTGCCAGGGTGGGTGGGTGCTCCCTCTCGGCGAGCTGCCTTTCTCCCCAGGTGGATGGCACCTGCGCGGAGGGGCTTGTCAGCGGGCGTTTCAGACAAGCACTCTGGCATGTAAAGAATTCTGCCTGCAAAAATCCCTCTGGAAATAACACCTAAAATTAGTTGCTTCTGAAATATGTTGTGTCACACATCACTGGACTGGCCCGAGGCAGCACCTTATCTACCTGCTGACACACAACTGAAGTTCATCAGCTTTATGGAATTGTGTTTGTCCCCGCCACAACAGGCTTCAGCCAGCAGCTGGGCTCCTTTCCAGCCTTACTTCTCAAATTTAAAGAAGCATCAGGCGGAATATGAAAACAGACTGTCAACTTGATGTATGACCTTTTCTCTGTAATAGACAAATATAAATCTTACATCTGGGATAGAAAGTAACTCTGAAGTGCAATGACTACAAAAGCAGGTCTCCCAAGTTTTTGTTTCATCTAAAGGAAAAATTATTGGTATAGAAAAATTACTTTCTCATTCCTCTGCCTCTCCCCTGGGGGGGTGGATCTTTAAAACTCTGCTTGGAGCTAGTGTTCAAAATCCAACAGGCAGAGCTGTAGAATAACTGCAGATTTTAAAGCACCTTCTCAGCAAATGGCCCAGATGTATTCATGTTTTTTAATACCACAGCTCTCAGTTCAAATACTCCACAAAGTGCCTTCCCCTTAACTCAAACCTCCTGTTTATTACCTCTTTAGGTACCAGCTAATATTCATTCCGCTCTGTATTTACATGAATAATTCCACAAGAAGCAGAGGGAGAGCGTAGACACAACCTGTGGCCTTTTGCTGTCACAAATGGGGCGAAGAAAGACAGTCACACTTGGCAAAGGTTCTCATTATTCAGACGCAAAGGCAAATCCTAGATCTGCCGTGCTTTACACACAAAGACTGAGTCTACAGTCAGGTTTGAAGCTCCAGCCTGTGTTCGAAAGAGCATCACAGGCCAGACTTCTCAATCAAAAAGTACAGAAGAGATTACCAATTTACAAGTAACAAATTCATGTATCCCAGAATTTGTATTTGAATGACCTAGTCCCCTTACTTCCTGGCAAATATCTGCTAGCAGAAGCTGCAATTAAATTTCAGAGATAAAAGCCTTAAATACATATTTTGTTTATCACTTTAGTAGTGTTAAATATTCAACATCACAAGGTTTAAAAACAAGCACTAAGAATTGTTTCCCAGGACACTATCCCTGTTGATGGTTCGCTTTTCATTTTATAGACTTGTTAACCCCGGAGGTCACCATTTTCAGTTTCTCTTACTCACTACCAGACAGAGAGACGGAGAAGAAACACAGGTCGGAGTGAGAGGCTGTCAGTCACACAGTCCTCCTGCTGCCTCCCTTCCTCTCGCACAAGCCTGCCAACTCTTCTGCTCCAAGGAGAGAGATCGATGGGAGGACGACTGTTACCTTTACTAGCTGACCAAAGAAGCCTAGGAATAACTACAGTGTTACTGTGATGCACACAGGGGTACAGACCGATGCAAAAATATTTTCTGTAGGATATTACTTCTTAATTTCTCTTTTTTTCCTTCCTTTTTCAGTGCAGAACCACAGTACTGGCTGGTTAGAACTACTCTCTCAGTGGCCGTGTTCTCTGCAATGGTCACAGAAAACTAATATCAAATAGGATTTCTCTTATACTAACGATTTGCAAGCATCGTTTTTCCTTGCTGTCATTCTTAAAACATCTCCTCTAGGATAGAACTTGCGTTCAAGATTAAGAACTCGGCCTCGGTGAAGGCATCGCTTCTGCTGTGAAGAGAAGCCCTCGCCCCGGGCGCTGGAGGCCACAGCAGATAATCCTTTGGAGAGAAGGTATTGCAAAACCTTAGCATGCTGCTCCAGAGAGAAAACAACGCCTACGATAAACTTTGTATTAATCCTAGGAAAAGGCATAAGGAAAACTAAAATAGTTCCTGCACAGTTACATTCTAATCCATTTCTTTCCTAAGACAGACGACCGTACCTTGCACCCCAACCCATGTCTGTAACCTGTATGTAGAAAATGCACATATGATATTAGCATTTCCACTTGAATTTATACAACAAATATTAAGGATCAAAAAATTGTGTGCTATATCATCTGATAAAGTGTGAGGAGGGAAAAAAACAGATTGCTAATCTAGTTCAGTTGCTGAAGGAATCAGGCAACCTAAGTGCTGTGTGTGTTTGTATTTTATGCTGTCATGTGTAAAGTTTCTGATGGTGTTGATGACTCAGTTTGTTGCTGGCTTGAAGCAACAAATCTGATTATTTCAGAGTAGTTTAGTTCTTGAACTTGAGAGAGTCTTATAGTATTCAATAACGCATTCTTAGCACGCAGATTTTAATGTTAGGACATAATATTATGTTCATATAATGAACATAACTTGGAGGGAATGTGTTATTTCCTCTCTATTAGATGTATTTGAAGTACAGGATTTTCTTATTTTTCTCCTATAATCAACTCAAATTTTCACTCCAGTGCTTGCAAGATATTAGAACAGAACGTAAATAAAAGCACCTAGTTGTTTTCAGGTGTTCAGATACTCTTGTTTTGACCCTTTTTATTTCCTTTTTACCACCAATTGACAAACAACTTTTTTTTCTCCTACAGAAGGCTGCTGTAGGAAGCTTTCTTCGGACACACCTGAGGAACGGAGGTCTCTCTGCTCGCACAGCAGCACGACGCGTGAGGCAGCGCCGCAGATGTCCCCGTGTCACCATGCCACTACATCACAGTTTTGACCTGGAAAAACTCCTTTCATTTCCACGCGCAATATTCCGGTGCCACACCTGCTCGTGGCTGTGTCTAGATGCTTCTCCCTGCAGCCACTTCCTAACCTGCAGTTTTTCAGTCTCCCTCCTGCTTCTGGCGTACTTCGCGGTGTAAATTTTGCCGGCACCGTCACAGCAATGAGCACTAGGCTCACTCTGAACGCTTCCCAGCAGAGGGGTTTCTGGCTTCTGACTCCTCATGAACAGTTCTACCTCAGGTATTTTATAACGCGGTGCTCACCGCACCCGGTGCCAGACAGCAATTAGCCTCGGCACGGTAGCAAAATACGCAAGTATCCCTTATTTCCTTGCCTTTTGACGTGATACAGCTGCGTTTTATTTACTTGGAAAACTTGGGTCTTCTACACGCCCCTGACAGGGAGAGCAGCACCCCTCTCCCCGCAGCCCGCCAAACGCCGCCCGCGCG